CGATACGACTAATTTTTCTCGTCATTTTGATAGTATTTTGAGCCCAAGCTATTTTATTTTGAAGGTTTTAAAGTGCAGTTTTAATTATCGAAATTGTATTGTTGACAAATCGCTCAAAATTATTAAACTGATTAAAAATGCAGTACGTTTGATATAATATTGGTATACCAGTATATTCATCTCACTTTTCTCTTCATTTTGATAGTATTTCATGTGCTAAAACCTGGACGATGGACGTCTATCGTCCAGCTTCCAGCGTCCATCGTCCAGTCCATCGTCCAGGTTTTAGCACATGCCGTAATGTATATGCAAAGGCAGAGCCAACTTGAGAAGAGCGAAAAGTGGGCGTATTTCGTTTCTTGATGTGTTTCCCTCCTTTCTCCCGAGGGACTGCTCGCGGTCTATGTTGCGGTCAAGTTTTGAAGATGCTCTCAACAGAAAAATACAACATTTAACTATTTATATATCAAACACAGAAAACAAGGTTTGATGAACAACAAACGAATAAGTTATTTGATGTGCGAAAATTAAATGTAAAATTACGAAACTGACAGTCTGGCATGATTGCCTGGACTTAGCTTGTTTCGTTTGATGCCAAACTTACATTCACTTCGCTACTTTCACTACTCATTTGAAACAAATGGGCTACTAAGAACGCCTTGCATGGGAGCTGAACTGTCCTTAATGTAAGGTGTTAATTAGTTAATAAGCTTTTAGCTACGGATCCAGAGTTCGTCTATAATAGGATTTACAAACAACTTCGATCATTTTGTTGGCCAGTAGGATCCTTAGAGATAGTAACAGGTCTTGAAATGAGCTGACTCGATATTGTACGGTGAATTGCAGCTCTTATAGCCGCCCATGTGCAACTTCGTGTTAGGTCTTTGTTTTGATTTGCCTTAACCTTGACATAAATAAAACCTCCAAAGAATAGCGATCAATTCCGTAGAGGGCAGATCACAATTGATTTGATCTCACCAGTCGTTAAACTTTTTAATTACCCACGTAGTTTGTTTTCTCGTGTTTTGGGATGTAGAATCTTCCTCGCGCCTTCGCAAATCATACTCATCCACCTGAGAAGACTGGGAATAGTTTTCTTCTTCTTACTCAAAACTTAACAAAAACATATAATAGTTTGTTTGTGGAAACACCACGTAAATTTATTACTGCAAAGCTTTCTTTTTAAAGCTTTTTTTTCTTTTTTTTTCCCTTTTTTTTTAAGTTGCAAAAACAACTGTAAAATTAGAAAACAACTGTTGCCTGTCTGTCGTCTGATAAAGAACACTCACTTGCACTGGAATTTTTTTTCCAAATCCTTTACTATGGCAATAGTATGGATCTTAGTTGAAACTAGTAGGAAAATCCAATTTTCGTACTAATTGCAATTTTCATACTAGGATATAGTATGGATATAGTATGGATTTAGTGGACAGTGGTGCAATCGCAAGCTCCATAAAATGAATTTCACTATTTTTTTCCAGTGTTGAACGGTTTTGCGACTGTTTGACCAATTGTGATTGGCAGCGCAGCCATATTTTTAGCCCGCTGATTTAAATGTATAAAATGTATTTTAGCCCGCTGATTTGTTCAATTTAGCCATAGAAGCCCAAAACTGCGTGTAGAATGCACCAAATGCTTCCAAATGCCAATTTATATTAAGCTCGCCCCATTCCTCTTTCATTTGTCGCGCGCCGTAAGTACTCGATGAAAAGCATTATATTGTTCATATATATATACATTATACCTAGGTATAATGTATATATATATAATGCTTTTCATTGAGTGCTTGTGGCGCACGACAAATGACAGAGGAATGGGGCGAGCTTAATATAAATTGACATTTGGTGCATTCTACAAGCAGTTTTGGGCTTCCTATGGTTTAGCCCGCAAAATACATCACAAGGTCCGCTAAAATTATAATAATATATATGCTAACAATATACCATGTTTTGTTCTCATGGTTAGATGTTACAAGACTCACGCATGGTATCCTGGCTGTCCCAAGGGTGCTAAATATATTGTTATTTACCGTGAACCATGTGCTGCTTTCTACAGTTACTTTAACTTCCATAAGGGTTGGGCGTTCCAACCTGAAGAACTCTCGCTTCATGAATACGTAAAGGATTTTCTACTTGCTAAGGATGTACCAAAAGGCAAGGAATTTGCATCCTATTTTGTGCACTTACTCAGCTGGTGGGAACACAGGAATGACTCGAATGTTTTATTTCTGTTCTTTGAGGATATGAAAGATGATTTAGAAAGTGTAGTTAGGATGGTTGCAGCAGTCGTAGGAATTCAGGATGAAAAAAGGATTAAGAAGGCTGTGGAAATGAGTTCCTTTGAATTTATGAAGAAAAATGAGGAGAAGTTTTCAGACGCACCGCCAGCCCTACGTTTTGCGAATAAAGCTAGCGCTCATGAGGAAGATTCTGATGTACGTTCGCCGCAGGTAATGTTGCACAGCAAGGTTGCTACAGGATCTGCAACGAAAGGACGAGAGTTGATGGATGACAAAACTAAAGAAATTATTCAGGCAAAGTGGCTGGAAGTCGTTGGTAAACAAACTGGATTTCAGGATTACAATGACTTGAGAAGTGCATTCAAAAAGGAACAGATGAATAAAAATTAAGAATTACTTCAATTTTTTTCTGTACACAGTTTTATATTAGACAGATTCAGATTTGACTTCAGATTTCCGCTAGCACTACCTTTAAGGGACCATTAACCAATCAGATGCACTCTTAAAAATAGGTGTGCTATAGTAACACACCTTTTCTGTCGCCAAAACAGCACACCTTAAGGTGTGCTACGGTAACACACCAAGGTGTGCTACAGTACACAACAAAAGGTGTGTTAGCGGCTTGTCGCCAAAACAACACACCTTTAGGTGTGTTACTAAGAAAGGTGTGTTAGGCAGCACGCAAAGGTGTGTTATTGTTGCTCAATGGTGTGTTATAGTAGCACACCTCAAGGTGTGTTGGTTAGCATAACTTAAGGTGTGTTAATATAACACACCTTACATGTGCTAATACAAGTGAAAGATGTGCTAATACAACACACCTTACAAGGTGTGCTAATACAACACACCTTACAAGGTGTGCTAATACAACACCCTTGAAAGATGTGCTAACACAACACACCTTACAAAGTGTGCTACTACAACACACCTTAAAAGACGTGCCAGTTTAACACACCTTTGAATGTGCTATATAACACACCTTTGAAAGTGCCAAAATGCACAAGATATAAAAACATGAAAACTGAAAAGGATGCACTTCACTGGTAACAATTTAATGCAAATAAATCTTTCTATCACATTAAATCTTTCTATCAATAAGTTATAAAAGTTCGCCAGTAAGAATAATAGCCATGCAAGATACAGTCCCTTAAATTACGGAATAAAGTTTAAAGGGATATGGCAATATAAAAGTTTATTGTCCCATTTGTAAGAACTTTTAAAATTATATGTTAAATTTTTTTACCGATTTTTAATATCTTGCATAGTTCTGGAAATATTTTTACATACAATGACTGAAAACAATGGAATGTCCGACATCTT